TATTATTATTATTATTATTATTATTATTATTATTATTATTATTATTATTATTATTATTATTATTATTATTATTATTATTATTATTATTATTATTATTATTATTATTATTATTATTATTATTATTATTATTATTATTATTATTATTATTATTATTATTATTATTATTATTATTATTATTATTATTATTATTATTATTATTATTATTATTATTATTATTATTATTATTATTATTATTATTATTATTATTATTATTATTATTATTATTATTATTATTATTATTATTATTATTATTATTATTATTATTATTATTATTATTATTATTATTATTATTATTATTATTATTATTATTATTATTATTATTATTATTATTATTATTATTATTATTATTATTATTATTATTATTATTATTATTATTATTATTATTATTATTATTATTATTATTATTATTATTATTATTATTATTATTATTATTATTATTATTATTATTATTATTATTATTATTATTATTATTATTATTATTATTATTATTATTATTATTATTATTATTATTATTATTATTATTATTATTATTATTATTATTATTATTATTATTATTATTATTATTATTATTATTATTATTATTATTATTATTATTATTATTATTATTATTATTATTATTATTATTATTATTATTATTATTATTATTATTATTATTATTATTATTATTATTATTATTATTATTATTATTATTATTATTATTATTATTATTATTATTATTATTATTATTATTATTATTATTATTATTATTATTATTATTATTATTATTATTATTATTATTATTATTATTATTATTATTATTATTATTATTATTATTATTATTATTATTATTATTATTATTATTATTATTATTATTATTATTATTATTATTATTATTATTATTATTATTATTATTATTATTATTATTATTATTATTATTATTATTATTATTATTATTATTATTATTATTATTATTATTATTATTATTATTATTATTATTATTATTATTATTATTATTATTATTATTATTATTATTATTATTATTATTATTATTATTATTATTATTATTATTATTATTATTATTATTATTATTATTATTATTATTATTATTATTATTATTATTATTATTATTATTATTATTATTATTATTATTATTATTATTATTATTATTATTATTATTATTATTATTATTATTATTATTATTATTATTATTATTATTATTATTATTATTATTATTATTATTATTATTATTATTATTATTATTATTATTATTATTATTATTATTATTATTATTATTATTATTATTATTATTATTATTATTATTATTATTATTATTATTATTATTATTATTATTATTATTATTATTATTATTATTATTATTATTATTATTATTATTATTATTATTATTATTATTATTATTATTATTATTATTATTATTATTATTATTATTATTATTATTATTATTATTATTATTATTATTATTATTATTATTATTATTATTATTATTATTATTATTATTATTATTATTATTATTATTATTATTATTATTATTATTATTATTATTATTATTATTATTATTATTATTATTATTATTATTATTATTATTATTATTATTATTATTATTATTATTATTATTATTATTATTATTATTATTATTATTATTATTATTATTATTATTATTATTATTATTATTATTATTATTATTATTATTATTATTATTATTATTATTATTATTATTATTATTATTATTATTATTATTATTATTATTATTATTATTATTATTATTATTATTATTATTATTATTATTATTATTATTATTATTATTATTATTATTATTATTATTATTATTATTATTATTATTATTATTATTATTATTATTATTATTATTATTATTATTATTATTATTATTATTATTATTATTATTATTATTATTATTATTATTATTATTATTATTATTATTATTATTATTATTATTATTATTATTATTATTATTATTATTATTATTATTATTATTATTATTATTATTATTATTATTATTATTATTATTATTATTATTATTATTATTATTATTATTATTATTATTATTATTATTATTATTATTATTATTATTATTATTATTATTATTATTATTATTATTATTATTATTATTATTATTATTATTATTATTATTATTATTATTATTATTATTATTATTATTATTATTATTATTATTATTATTATTATTATTATTATTATTATTATTATTATTATTATTATTATTATTATTATTATTATTATTATTATTATTATTATTATTATTATTATTATTATTATTATTATTATTATTATTATTATTATTATTATTATTATTATTATTATTATTATTATTATTATTATTATTATAATCGAGTCTTATCAAGAATACCATTTTTAAAGTAAATGAGTTGCGCAATCTAAATTTCCTACTCAAACTCCTTTTCTTCCATTGGCGTAGAATTTTTAAAGGTGCAATTATTTAAAAAATCAAGTTCCACGTCTATGTATTATTATCGGACAAAATTTTAATACCATTTTTTTTGCCACATAAAACTCTACCAATATACCAAATTTCAACAAAATCGCATATGCCTTTTTAAATTTATATGGGAAAAACGATTTAAAAATTGTAACTTCAAAGCCCTCTGGAGCCCAAACGAAGCAACTTTGTACTAAGATAATTTTACTTAAATCGACTTATTTTGGTCTAAGGAATATGTGGTATGTTTTAGATAAAGACCTTTTATAATGCTCCTAGATGATATGTTGACTCTATCTGCATTGAGAGCAGAATAGTTCTAGCCTCTAGCACTTTTCCAATAATTGTATTAATATTAAACAGAAATTATATACTATAGTGAGATGCTGTCATATATATGTTACTAAATGATAACTTGAATCTCTACTTTTTCAATAATTTTAATTATTAATAATAAACATGGGGATTCTGACAGTAGCAAAAGAAGTTACCAAAAAGCATATCACTGGAAGGAACATGCTTATCCATACAGAGAGCAGACAAACACTACTCACCCTGAACAGACCACATCGGAAAGTAACCGTCTTGCTGATTCACTAGCCAAGAAGGCAGCGAACCGAATACTTTTGGACATGGCCCTTCGATTGGATTGCCAACATCGGTTGTGGCAAACCTAATTAAAGAACATTTCCTTATGAAATTCAAGGAATAGTGGGATGAAAATAGAAGCTGCAGCAGAGTTACCATGGAGCTTTAAGTTACTCTGACAACACAGGAAATAAACACTTGACAGAATCTGCATCTGATCACAGGTATTATGACGGGTCATTGCCAAGAACGGAAGCATCTCCATAGCATAGAGCTTTCAGACTCCGCATTCTGCAGGGAGTGCAAAGAAGGCCCTCTACGATTGCCTGACACTCTCATTTTTTAGAATATTTGTGTTCGGCGATTTGTGGCTAACACCGGCCAATATAAGGGAAGCACCTATATCAAATCTATAGACTGGTTGACGATTTTAGATAAGATTAGATAAGATACATATAAAAGTAGCAGAACGTTGTTTTGCTGGGTGACCTGTCAAATGCGCGCCGACTAATGCGCAGATTTCACAGTTGGTTTAGAAATATTTAAAGGGATCCTGACCGCACAGTTTTTATGTATCATTTGTTTGTGAAGTAACCCGCTATATCTCCAGGGCGTGCAGGTTAGGTAATTTAGTAAAGTTGTTTTATTTTCCTCATTTTATGTAAAAAAATTTGAAAGACATCCCGCGATTGCTCCAGGCCGCACACATTGGGTACAATAGTTAGTTCTTTTTAATTGGAATACTAGGAAAATATGTTTTTTAATATATTTGACATTTAGATTTATACGTGGGATTAGAGCACTCCTATTGTAAAACGGAGAAAGTCTGCCAGGAATCAATTAAAATAAAAAATAACAATAACAATAGAATAACAATCAAAAATAAATTTTTGTTGGAGCGCATATTATATCAGGGGGCGCGTTTGTCGGGGCGCATTTTACCAGGGAGCATTTGACTAGGGCGCAATTGTCAGGTATCGGTTTTGCTGACACATTTCCAGATCTAAATGCCAGACTGGTTTGAGGACCTGTTTATACAGAAGTATTTTGTAATATGTAGAAAGACTGGAATGCCTACTGAAAAACCAATACATTTTCTTGAATCTCATATCTGGTTATTTTCTTTTATTTTTTAACATTAGTCCAGTAACTACGTAAATTTAACTAGAAAAATTTGCAATAAATTGTAAAAAAAAAAGATTGAATGAAAGAGCAAATTGTGTATTCTTGATTAAACGGAAGAAAAACCGTTTTGCGAGTGAACTATTTTAATTGGCATTTTGTTGACATTTTTAGTAAAGATAATATAAAGAGATTTGGTTTTGTCAAATCTTCTAATTCAGTTGTTATTAATTTGTATTTTATTTGGAGTCTCTTCAGGATTTTGTCTTCCATTAGGATTGCAATGTCACCTGCAAATGTAGCTATTGTACCTTGTTATCGTGTTATGTTAAATGTAAAAGGATACTAGAGCCAAGAGCGTATCTATCCTATCCTATCGACTCTACATAATGTAGAAGTGGGAGGTAAGAGAGATGACACACCAGTTAGGCGTCTTTCTCGGCTCAAAAGGGCGGATGAACATGAAAAAAGTACACTATACTTATGATAATAATATGAATCCAATTGCCTACATTTTTTAAGATTTACCTTCTTATTCTCCACTTTTTCTTTTTTGAACAATATGTGGGTGCACTCACCTGAAAAGATAAAAAATATATTAATATATAGGCTTAGTATTTGCTGACTATATGTTAAAAAATAAGTTGATAAATATATTATGTTTTTTAGTAATAAGTTTTAAGTTTTTATTCCAAGCTTTCGGATATGATGCCCATCATCAGGGAGCTACAATAAAAGTGTGTGCCTGAGTAGTAAATTTTAAAAAATTGTTATTTTTTAGGTTGCAGGCAATACGCATTCGACACAGACGAATTTTGGGAATGCTCCATCCGTCATTTTACTTTCACAATCTATCATCCCACATCTACGTGTAAAATGGGACCATCCACGGATCCAGATGCGGTGGTCGACCACAGATTAAATGTCTATGGCATTAAAAATCTACGAGTCATTGACGCTTCTATTATGCCAAATATTGTAAGCGGGAATACGAACGCCCCCACTATTATGATAGGGGAGAAAGGGGCGGATATGATTAAAGAAGATTGGGGCGTCAAAGATAGGTAGCATACGTGAAAAAAAAAATAAGTCGTGTTTTGCAATATGCGAATTTTATTTCATGAATCTTGTTATTTATAATAAAATTTGTGAGGCAGTAGCGAAACTATTTTTCTAAATAATTCTATTATTATTTATAAATTATTATATATTTTATATTAAATAGAAAAAGTAGTTTGGTCTACCCACAGAATTTTCTAAAACTAGTCAATGTACATACAGTACGGTCATAAATTGTCGGTCTTACCCACTTTAAAATGCTAAATTCATGTATTAATAAAAAACAATTCGGGTTTATTTAAAATTAAAGGACATTTTGACTATAGCAGCACGAATTTATCTCCAATAGCAAGTGGAATCTTGTAATATATCATTTAAGAGGTAATTTGAATGCAAGTAAAAATTTACGAACGCACTGTATGTATAAAAATGTGTTTGTTTTGTTTTAAGACATCTTGAATTGTATTAAATAAAACAATACTCGAATATTTTAAAAATTTTATTTATTATTTTTTTTAATTCCATGTAAATAATGTATAATAGTTTTTATTATAAGTTTATTAAAGGTGACGTAAATGAAATAAACATTGTATTATTTTTCATTAATCTATTAATATTGTAAGGGTTTTTTCTCGCCACAGAGAAAACGGTTCCTTACGAATGACGCTGGTTACGGGCGGTTCTCGAGCGCCAGATTTTTGATGATGGTTTGCTCCACAAACTTTCGAAACGGCGTCGAAAGTACTCGGGTAGCTACAGATGGAGATAAAAAATTCCAGGGGTCAAAGGTCACTTACACACAGGTAATAGTAGGCCACAAGTAACGGGTTTTAATCGTTGCTTGGGCTCGTACGAAATTTATCACTAGCTGAAATATAAGAGGGAAATAAAGTAGGGAATTATTAACCAGTAATATTTACAACAAAAAAAAGAAATTAAATATTTCAACGCCCATCCCAGTTGTGGTGATAGTCAATATAACCCTGAATAAATAAAAAAAAAAGAAACAAAACGGACGGTATTGATTCGCGACTAATCTCAATCAGACGTCAAAATTAAATTAAAATAAAATGTATGTTTCGGTCGCAGAGAAAAGAAAATATTAACTGTTTAACCGCGGTATCGGGAATTAAACTAAAATGCAGGTATTTTGCTATTTAGGTGAAGAAAAATTAGCTAAACGGTCGAAGAGAATGCGAGGGGACAGGGACGCGAAAGAATTACTTATAGTCAATTCAAAAGGCAAAAAAAGAATACGCTAAACGTTTAATAGACAAAAACAAAAACTCCTCACAAGGTATGTGGAATTGTGTAAATCAGATAAGCGGAAAGTCAAGCCCTAAAACAAAAATAACATCACTTAAAAAACATAATGAAATAATTACAGATAAAAACGCCATAGCAAATGAATTTAACATTTTTTTTAGCGACTTAGGGGAACAATATGCGAGAAACATAAAAACACCGGAAAATTTCACGGAAAATATCCCACATTTTGAAAACACTTTCTATCTACACCCTACCCATGAAACTGAGGTTGAAAATTTAATAAAATCTCTCAAAAACAAAAAGTCTCCTGGAAATGATGGCATTCGATCGGAAACCTTAAAACATGTATCGGACATTATTAATAAACCTTTATCAGATTTAATTAATATATGTTTTGAAAAATCCTATTATCCTAAATGTCTAAAAATCGGTATTATTAAGCCAATACACAAGTCAGGATCTAAATTGGAAGTAGGAAACTATCGACCTATATCCCTAATATCTACGTTATCAAAAGTTATAGAAAACATTTTAAAAACCAGAATTGTAAAATTTTTAGACAAATTCCAGATTATTTCAAAAAATCAGTATGGCTTTAGAGAGGGTAAATCAACGGAAGATGCTATATGTGCTTTAACAAAATCCATTTATGAAGCTATAGATTCAAAAACACCAGCATTATGCATATTCGTTGATCTCTCAAAAGCTTTTGACACGGTATCGCATTATATATTACTCCAAAAATTTAAATGTTATGGATTTAGGGGAAGAATTTTTCGACTTATAGAAAGTTATTTGAATGATCGAAATCAACAGGTTTATCTTGATGGTGCCACGAGCGATATGAGAGCTGTAACCTTTGGTGTTCCGCAAGGCACCGTTCTTGGACCTTTGTTATTCACTATATATGTAAACAGTTTATTGACAATGAACATAAAAGGTGCCATTACGAGCTTTGCTGATGACACCGCAATATTATATAAAGGAGACACTTGGAAAAACCTAAAAGTTATGGTAGAAGCTGACTTTTCTATTATTAAAAGGTGGCTTGCATATAACAAACTCACTCTGAATGTAGAAAAAACTAGTTACATGCCGTTTACTTCCTATTCAAGTAACTTGCCTGACCTGGGAAATTTGATAATCGACCAAACAACGCAGATTCCTGAATCAGAGCACATTAAATACTTAGGAATTGTTATCGATAAACATCTGCGCTGGGATTTGCATATAAATCATCTTGCTAAAAAGATAAGAGGTCTTATTAGTAAATTCAAATTTTTAAGGGAATACCTGGATATACCTTATTTAAAAACTGTGTACTATGCCTTGGTTGAATCTCAGTTAACATATGGTATACTAGGATGGGGAGGAGTTTACGATATCTACCTTGAAAAAATTTGCATTTTGCAAAAATGGATTTTAAAACTGATTTATAACAAAAAACCTACATACTCAAGTAATTTGGTTTATAACTATAGTCAAATCCTTGATATAAGGCAACTTTTCTGCCAACGTATACTTATAGCTATCTATAAAAATAAAATAGAAATGTTGGAAGTAGACCATATTTATAATACCCGAAGACGAAATCAAAATTTTAAAGTACCAAAATGTAATAAGAATATTAAACAACGAAGTATACATTTTATAGGCCTTAAATTATATAATATCTTACCAAATGATTTAAAACGTATTAACAAATTTTACTCTTTTAAAAATAAAGTCAAACTGTGGATATTAAAAACTGATAGAACTGTATTTAGCAATATAGTTAATAACGATTAAATAAAAAAGATATATATGTTTTTGAATTCATTTACTTACTTACTTTTGTAACAACTCAAAATAATTGTAAAAATAAAAAAAAATGTACAAAAAAATACAAAAAAGAAAATACAAAAAAAAATCAAAACAAAAAATATATACCTATAGATTTTTTATATTGATTTTTCATATTGATTTTTCATATTTTTCTATTTTAATTTTTTTTATATTATCTATTATTATTTTATACCATTACTACCAATATATCACGTACAAGCTGTATAGGCCTCGTCCTACATAGCTTCTGTGATTATTCATGTTTATTTATTGTAATTTTTCCTGTTTATATATTTATGTTATATTGATGTAAAATAAACATTATTATTGTTATTATTATTATAGTAAATACACGGAAAGAAAATAAAAATAAATTTATACCCGGGATAGCCTATTATCCCAGAATGAGCTGATCGTCATCACGAGCCCGCTCAGACAGGGTAATGAAGCTATGTTTGCTTTCTACAACTTGCAGCTTGCACGAAAAAAAAATGAAGAATATAAAGGGGAAAAGAAGAACGAGCCCGTTCAGACAGGGACAGGATACTATTTAAAGTTATTTAAATTGTCGGAAAAAGATAAAAACAAATTACTATTGGAGGGAAGAAAATTATTAACGCGGATAGTACCTACTCGAAGAGTGAACTGATCGTCATCACGAGCCCGTTCAAACAGGACAGGATACTATTTAAAATTATTTAAAATTCGCGGTTTACAGATTAACAAAAAAAATTATAACGCGGATAGCACCTACTCCAAGAGTGAACTGATCGTCATCACGAGCCCGTTCAGACCAGGACAGGATGCTATTTAAGATTATTCAAATATACGGTAAAAGAAATAAACAAACTATTAAAAGAGGGGAAACGTCTCCTCGAAAACTCCGTTTACAAATATTTACAACTTAATTACAACGCGGTACTTACTAAACAAAAGTATTTATCAATTAAATCAAATTTAATTCCCGATTTAACCTATCAAAAGAAAAAAATAATTTCTTAATACAGACTAACGATCAAAAGTCTAAAATCCCCAGTTTTACAATATTACAGAATTAAATCCTATCATTTAATATTTAATTCAAATTCTATCCCTTTTTAAAGAAACGGTATATTTGTCAAGAAATAAATTCAAATGTTTATTAATGAAATCAAACTAAATCTTTTATCTAAACACTAACTATAAAAAAAACGGTAATATTTTACCAAGAAACAATTTTTAATATTTATTATTTAAATCAAATTAAATTTTTAACTAAACTCTATTTATAAAAAAACCGATAATATTTTACCAAGAAACAAATTCTAATATTTATTATTTAAATCAAATTAATTCTTTTAACTAAACACTATCTATAAAAAAAGAAACGGTATCATTTACCAAGAAACAAATTCTATTATTTATTAATGAAATCAAATTAAATCTTTTAACTAAACACTATCTATAAAAATATTCCTATTCTTACAATCTAATTCGGTTTTTAAATTGATATACAGAGTCAATATCCAACGTAAAAAGCGGAACAAGGTTTTTTACCTAACGGATTTGTAAATACTCGGAAAAAGGAAAAAATATCGACGGTGATTTGATTTCTAATGCGGCTTATTAGAGTCAACTGCTGGCAACCAAAAATTATATCGAACTGATAATTTTAATAGCATCTCGGCTCTCGTTCAAACAATTGATTCCCTCTCCTATCAGAAATCCCACTTAGACACAGACCTACCGCGCACGATTCTCGATCGGCGTTCGCGCTGGTAAATTAACTGAGGATCGACAGTTCATATCGCGTTAAAAATTTATTAAAAATGAAAAATGAAAATAAATTGATTGAAGAAAATTGACTTCATTACAATATTCACAAAAAAAAACTTATGAAGGATCCAACGATGAAAAATTACTAGACTAATCCATTCATTCATAATTAAGTCCTTTTTTATTGCAATCATTCAGATTGAGTTTATTATTACGCAGACAGAGCTGTCACATCAACTGCCGCATAAGACAAGTGGTAGCAGATGAAAAACTTTTTTATTATTATTAGGAAAAATAGTTATTCTTCATAAAAAGTCGCGCATGGTCTAAAAAACCAAAATACAACCATAAGATATCAAATTTTATTAGTCGTATACGAGGTTTGTCAAAAAAGTACTTTACTCTTTAGCAAAATTATCTGATGGTTGCATTTTAAGTTCTGGACCATGTAGAACTTATTATGAAGAATAATTTTTTTTACAAAACCAATAATAAATAAGTTTTTCATATGGTTCCATATGAAATATTTATATTAATAATGGAATCATTGGCAACCAGGTCGCCAACGAGATGTGCTCAATCTTTCTTCTTTGCCATGTAGACTAGATAAAAGGAGGCGAATCGGCAATGACTAAATTTCAAATTTCTATTCTTCTTTTTATAAAGTTCGGTAAATTGACTGTAGTTGGCAGGTCGAACATCACTGACGTTCATTTTCTATGTAAGTCAATGTAAAACGAAATTATTTTTTTAAAAAATTGGTGAAAAGATTCAAAATAATGTGAAAAAAGTACCTGAGTGCAATTAACATGAGTGACAAAAAACATTAAAGCAAGATTTACTTCGTTCTACATTGTAAAACAAGATACAAATTACATGTAAAACTAAAGAAAACACAAGGAGAAATCAATTCAATGTCTCTTTAAAGCTTCTAATGTATTTATGTCTAAATATAATATTTATTGTCAACTACTCACAATATGTATCTTACGGAGTGTAGTTAATTTTATTACAAGTTTCTATAATAAAAAATTTTACAGTCATAGATCC